TTTTTTTTTATATTTATACATTATTGACCAGTTCAGTACTGTACTTCAGCTAAATATCACCTCAGGTAATTTATGCTCTTTTAGATGTCATCACTGGGGTTAAATTTCAGAGCTACAATGATGGCATTTCAACATGTTTGTAGTCAAAGAGGACGTAGCGCTGCTGCGTTTAAAGCGCATCAATAATCGATTTCATGGCCGCCAAAGGCTTCACCTCTACTTTAACAAGAAGTGAGCTGAGTGGAGGCACAGACCTCTCACTGTGCGTCACTGCCGCAGCCTCTCACAGGCTCTAAATCAAAGTTCAGGAGCCATGAATGACAATGTCCCTTTCTTCAGGCTCTTCCCTCTGAGGAAGAAAGGCCTGCGAGCCCCCAATGTGCTCCCTGAGAGGGAACAGCGTAGCCTCCCCCCTTCCCTCCCCACCGCTGAACTCAGTTTATGGCCGGGCTGAGGTTGCTCATTTCAAGGTAGTGTTCTTTTGAACAGTGGCGTTGCCGGGGCTCGTGTTACACCTGCCCCCGCTCTAACCTCTCCGCATTCACACGGCCCTCCGGGACAAGGCCCTTCTCTGTCTGCCTGCCCCACCACACAAAGCACCCACAAGCCATCACTGCCAGTGCTGTTTGTTAGCCACCATCGCCCCAGCACTGTCCGCTCACACAATGCGTGACTGTGGTGAAAAGGCCCCCTGACACCCAGCATAGCAGCCAGGGGGATTCTAGATCCATTACCTATTGCCATGGCAATCTAGCAAAAGAAGGATGCATGTTTTATTTATATAAATGTATACCTTGTAAGTCACATATGTGTTTGCTAAATGAATCAGTGTAAAGCTTGTACTTATTTTGGGATATACTGATCAAAAATTTGGGGTGTGTAAAATTTTCCAAAGAGCATAAGTCTATAATGCCCGCCAAGGCTTCATTTATTTGGTCAAAAATAACAGTAAAACAGTAATATTTTGAAGTATTCTTATAATTTAAAATAACTGTTTTCCATTTTAAAATGTAATTTATTCATGTGATGCAAAGCTGAATTTTCAGCATCATTACTCCAAGTCTTCAGTGTCACACGATCCCTCAGAAAACATTCTAATATGCTGATTTGGGCCCCAACTTTTGGTACAGTATGTGGTAATCTGCATATTTAAAATAATTTGCCATAATTACACTGCTAAGTAATTTAATCTAATTGTTACATGTCATTGATAAATATATTTATCTAAATTTTAATGTTCTTTTAAATAATAAATTGCTCCAAAATGAATGTCTTCTATTACTTTTTACACCTACCTGCATAAAGAATTACTTTCAAAAGAAATTTTAATTAATATCCCATTACAGTCACGTTTTCAAATAAGGTGTTTACATGACAAAGAAAATCAGTTCATGGGATATGTCAACACGTCTTATTTGGATTTTTAGAAATCAGAATATTGGCTAAAAGGAATAGTTCACCCAAAAATAAAAAAATTGCTGAAAATGTAATCACCCTCAGGCCATCCAAGATGAAAATGAAGTTGGTTCTTCATATCAACATACTTGGAGAAATGTACCAATATTACTGTATGTATAAGGAATACATATTTTAGCCAAAAGCATTTTAATTTAAAAATGTATAATGATGGATTTGTTTATTACAAACACAGATGGACTAGAGTCGTGTGGATTATTGTAATGTTTTTATCAGCTGTTTGAACTCTCATTCTGACGGCACCCATACCCTGCAGAGGATTCATTGATGAGCAAGTGATATAATGCTAAATTTCTTCAAATCTGTTCTAATGAAGAAACATCTCGGAAACATCTCATCGAAATCTTAAATGGCCTGACGGTGGGTACTTTTTCAGCAAATTTTAATTTTGGGAAGACCCATTCCTTTAAACAAGTTTTTTTACACGACACACACATAATCAGTATATGGGCAAATTTTGATTAAAATAAAAATATTCTTGTGCATGTAGTTTAGTAGCCAATTCTTACACATTTCTGAATCTCAAATGTCTGGCAAATCACTCTCACTTGACAGTATGTGTTCAGTTGTGGAGGTTCTTAACTCTGTAAACAGAGCGGGTCAGAATCTAATCACAAACACAGACAACACAGCACTGAGCAAGGATGGCCTGTTAAAGTATCAGCGGGGTGCCGGGAGCAGACCTGCCGTCGTCCCCAACACACCCCTGTGAGTGATGCTCTGAAGACACCACGTGCCCTCTGTAAACATCCCCCAGCGCCACTGACGGGACAGCACTGCATTCTCACAAGAAACTGTCATTGTGTCCCACTATCCACATCCGAGGCAATTCACACAACTTCCAGAGAGCTGCAAAATCCCCCAAAAGAGTTCCCAGAGCAGTTTTAGCTTCTGTTTCTAATATTAGACCTTCTCTGGTCAACTGAGATCAAAGGTCTGCGGAACGCTTGAAATGTAATACAACCGAACAGTTAAATATAGAGGAAGAGACAATTAGGGAGATGAGCGGTCAGCAGCCCAGTGTCTCTCTGCAGTCAGCTGTGGGTCTATTTTCTGCTGCCAGAAGAAGAGAGGAAGGAACATTGTGTTTCCTGTAAATAAAGAGAGGAGTACAGCTATCATTGCTTTGACAACGGAAGCAACGTCGGTGTCGTTCTTTTTCTGACACTCGTCACATCTACGTGTGAAAAGAAGCGTTCCCTACTGGCCCAGGGGTCAATTAGAACCATTCACAAGTTGAAATGAAGATCTCTATGTCAGGTGAAGTTGTAAACAACACTGGGAGTTTCTTGCCTCAAAGGGATGAAGCGGTTCAAAATACATCCGTGAAGCTGCATTTAGAAACATGTCCTATCTTGAATTTATTTTCAAAGTGATCTAAAACACAATCACAGTTTCAAATGATGGTAATATCTAATATTAATAGACTACATTTGCAATAATGCAAATTGCATTAAACTTCGAGAAGGAATCACAACAACGAAATCCTGAAATTATATATTTAATAAAAGATTTTATATTTATGCTGAAATTTACAGTACTGCTTTCAAATGTTTGGGGCCAGTAAGATTTTTTTTTTTAAAGAAATTAATACTTTTATTCAGCAAGAATGCATTACATTAATCAAAAGTGACATTAAAGACATTTTAATTACTTTCAAATGTTTGGGGCCAGTAAGATTTTTTTTTTTAAAGAAATGAATACTTTTATTCAGCAAGAATGCATTACATTAATCAAAAGTGACATTAAAGACATTTTAATTTAAAAAAATAAAATAAAATAAATAAAATACAAAATATTTGAAATAAAAAAATAACTTTCTAAGAATCCTAAAAAATGCATCATAGTTTCCAAAAAAAAAAAAAAATTAAGCAGCACAACTGTTTTCAGCATTAATAATAATAAGAAATGTTTTGTGAGCAGCAAATCTGCATATTAGAATGATTTCTGAAGAAGGATCTTGTGACAGTGAAGGCTGGAGTAATGATGCTGAAAATTAAATTTAAATGAAATTTTATAAATATATTGAAATAGAAAACAGTTATTTTAAATTACAATAATATTTCAAAAAGTTACTGTTTATACTGTATTGTTGATCAAATAAATGCAGTCTTAATGAGAATAAGAGACTTCTTTCAAAAACAAAGTTTACAGATACTAAACTTTTGAATGGTAGTGTATGCTTGAGATTTTATATTCATATTTATTGAATAAATCATCTAAACTTATCTTGTCAATTAATGACTGTCTTCCACAACTTACATTTTTAAATAACATTTCACATGTCATTTAGTGTGACAAAATACATATCTTTGAACACCGAAACTGTATTTTTACATTTACATGTTAAGCAGACACATTTTTTGCTAAACGCATCTTATGTTTTCAACTGCATGAGCTAATCAAACCATTTAAAATCCTATATCATTAAAGCTGATAGCAGGTATCCCACAATGTGCAAAATATCCACAGTACATCCTTCCTGGTGGATGTTCAAGAAGTGATAACCAGAACACCCACGAGCAGGATGTATTGTCTACACCCTCTACAAATAGACCATACCTCCAGGAAACGGTGTCATGAGAAAAAGCAGTGACTTAGGTAGGGGAAGATGACCATCACAGAATAAAAGTTATATCTGTCACTACAAACACACGCCCAAAAAAAGATTTGCATGAGGAAGAGACTCATATCCTGTAAATAATGTGTCAGCCGCCTCACATACAACACTGTCTGAAGACCCTCATTTGCATTTGATCAATGTATAATGAAACTTAAAATGATTGTGGTTAAATCTATATCATATTGTATACGGTACAAAGCACAAAATTTAAGTTTTACATTTCCTGTATTAACCTTGAATCAGTTTTGTTTTGTATTCTCTGAGGAATGTGCACATGGTGAAGTGGGCATTTCTCAATCCCACTCACTTACTTTAAGGAAACATTGTAGACAAAGTGTATGTCAAGGCCAAAACAACTGAGGGAAGAATGATTTTGAGAACGAACAGTCACAAGATGGTTAAATGATTAAAATTTGAGAAGCACATGATTTTAATCAATGATAAAAGAAAGCAAATACTGTGTTTTTGTCAGTTATATTACATTGATGTTTCCCATAGACACTTGACTTGAGTAATGAGAAGACAAAAAATGGTAAAAAAAAGAATAATAAAAATAAAATTTAAAAATAAAAATGATGGTCAAGTTCCACAACAGATGGTATCAAATGGCAATAGTAGTACCTTAAAATATATAATGGTAGAGATTAAGCATTCATGGTATTTATGTGGTAAACATATAAATGCCATGGCACATGTCCAAAAAAGCCACACGCTTTTGCACTTTTTGCAAGCACAAGTGTTAATTTATTTTATGAAAATTTATTTATTTATTTTCGAAGTACTGTACTTACAGATTTTGCTTGACTTGTGAGACGCCATCGACTCGATTGTATTCTTTCACCATCTAGTGGTGGCTGCATGTCATTACAACAACCGGCAACTTCACGCTGTGGTTTACATCCGGGTCGCAGACGTCGGCGTCCTATTGGTTGATGTAACGGAATGGACAACATGTTACAATTCATGAAACTAGTCGGACAGCTAAAAGTGAGTAAAATTCGTATTAATACCAAATGTTTTGCGCGATAACCTATGTTACATTAACGCTTGCTTGTGTTACAGCGTGTACCACGAACAGGATGGGTGTACAGAAATATCAAACATCCTGAGAGTGTGTCTGATCATATGTACAGAATGTCTATGATGGCCTTAACCATAAAAGACATCACTGTCAGTAAAGAAAGGTTTGTATGAGGGGTCTTAAAATACAGGAGTTTTTGCATAGACGTCGACTGTTTACCTTGGAGCGAACGTAGGTGTCCTTACTGATGCTCTTCATGTTTATTTGGGAATGACGGATGGGTGACAGTTTAATCCACAGAAGGAGCCTCTCAACATTTATGTAACGTTTGGGGAAAAAACGTTTTTCTGGTCGGTTTCGATAAAACTGCGTATGTATCCAAACCTGTTTTTACACAGTCTATGATCCAAACACACAGATCCTCGTAAGCGAGTAAAAGTTTGTCCGAAACAGTTGCTACGGTAGGATTGGTCAGTAGCGATTTTAAGGCGGGGCTTAGAGAAGAGTCAATTAATTTATGCATTGTGCGGTTCACTGAGATTGATTCACAGTTGTGCTGTTCATCTGTTCACTTGTGTAGTTCATTTTGACTCATTCACACTTATTCGGTTCATTAGATTCATTCACATTTCTAAAGTTCGTGTAGTTTCATTCTCATTTGTGCAATTTATTGAGTTTCGTTCACATTTGTGCGGTTCATTATGATTCATTCGCACTTGTTCGGTTCATTAGATTCATTCACATTTCTAAAGTTCATGTAGTTTCATTCTCATTTGTGCAGTTTATTGAGTTTCGTTCACGTTTGTGCGGTTCATTAAGATTCATTCACACTTGTTCGATTCATTAGGATTCATTCATATTTGTGCAGTTCGTTTTGTTTCAGTCATACTCGTTCGATTCAGGTACGTTAATTCATTCATTCTTGTTCAGTTCTGATTCATTCATATACACTAGTATTTTTTTTCCAGACCCATTTAAGTTAATGCTTAAAACCCTTGTAATTAGCTTTCTACAACAATATAAATGGTACAAAATGTATAAATATCTTTACAGTATTAGAAGTTTAATAAAAACATTTATTTAAAATAAAACAGAGACAGTTATTCTAAAATGTCTCCACAGATGCATGAAGCTGGCTTTAGTTCATGACTTGGCTGAGTGTATTGTGGGAGATATTGCACCAGCAGACAATGTTAGCAAAGCAGAGAAGCACAGAAGGGAAAAGGTATGATGGTTTTAAGATCATTTTTACATTAGAAATATTTTGTGTGTGTACACATTAAACATTGAGAATCTTTCTCTTTAGGAAGCGATGGTGCACATCACAGGCCTGTTAGATGATGGCTTACGGAAAGAGATTTACAGCTTGTGGGAGGTGAGTTGATTAAAACAACTGGACCAAGTTTTGTGTTCCTCTTTTTTTTTGGTTTGGTTCGGAATGACTGGACTACATCTTTCAAAGGAGTATGAGACTCAGTCCAGTCCAGAAGCCAAACTGGTGAAGGAGTTGGACCAGCTGGAGATGATAATACAAGCTCATGAGTACGAGGAGTTAGAGAGGAAACCGGGAAGACTGCAGGAGTTCTTCACCTCCACTGAAGGTTTGATCACTTCTACCAGCTCAGGATCTAAATATATTCTAAGAAGAGATCCACCAATCAGAAAAATCACTGTTACCATGGAAAAAGTAAAATGTATCAAACATGCTCAACAGTGGCCGTTCACTCCCATAAAGAAATGCGAATGTATTAATCAAGTCTGTCTCAGTACACTCTACACCTACTTAAAGGAACAGCTCACCCAAAAATACATTTGCTGAAAATGTACTCACCCTGAGGCCATCCATGATGTAGATCAGTTTATTTCTTAATCAGAACAGATTTGGAGAAATTTTGCCTTATATCAATTGTTCAACTATGAAATATGCACTGATCAAGCTGATCCAGTTCTAAACAAAACCTGTCAGTGGATTTTAAAGTAAGAGGACAACAGGGGATGGACTTTTTCACTGGAGGAAGCATTACTATAGATTTTGGCCATAAGTAATGGTTTAAAGTAGTGCTATCAAACGATTAATCGCATCCAAAATAAAAGTTTTTGTTTACATATGTGTACTGTGTATATTTATTATGTATATATAAATACACACACATACAGTATATATTTTGAAAATAT